TAAAGTCACCGCAGGCTCTCCAAGCACCTGTTTTCTTTTTTACCAGGTGAATTGGACTCGACCACGGACTGTTTGACGGACGAATAATTCCTTGCTCCAACAGCGTTGAAAATTCTTCACGAATTGCCTTTAATTTTTCCGTTGAATAACGGCGTGACCTTTCATGCACTGGCTGACCATCAGTGACTATTTGATGGCAGACTACAGATGCGTCAGGTAGGCTATAGTTATTTGCACTGCACAAATCAATGTATTTGTTGACGATTGTAAAGAATTTTGAATTTGGATCCAATGTGTATACCGAATGTATCGATGTGGTTTCAATTGCACCAGATGACGACAATGTAGTAAGCGGGTCTAATAACCGTCTTGATTTTATGTCTGGAATTAGACCATATTTCGCCAGAAAATCTGCGCCCAAGATTGGACATTTGACGTCTGCTATAATGAAGTTCCAATTGAAACTGCGTCGTAAACCAAGATTGATGCTAAGTCTCTTAGTACCGTACGTTTTAATAAATGAATTATTTGCTGCGAATAATTTTAGTTCATCTGGCACTAGATTGCGTTTCACTGTGATTGCTGCTAAAGGAATAATGGATACGGCCGATCCGGTGTCAACTAGAAACTTCATATTTGAGATACGATCAATTACATGTAAACGAGCTTCTTCAGTGCAGTGTTCCAGCGCGTTGTCGTTTACTGCACTTGTGGACGACAACGGTTTTAGTTTTCCTTCTGTTTGATATTAGTTGTTTGGCAGCCGAACTCGCATGGTTTTAAGCATTTTGTTGCAGCTGTTCCAAATTTAATGTGATAATAACAGACTTTTCGATCTTCACGCTGACTTTTAAACTGAGTTCTGCTAGAACTGCGAGCCCTGCTTCGCCCCTGTGAGTTTGCTGGTCGTCTGAGCTCTATTGCTATTTCACTTAGTTTACTTACCACTTGTTGCAGAGATATTTCTAACGCTGTCACACGTGCCTCCAATGTTGATTCCTCTGTGTTACTGCGTCGGTTAATTGCAGATGCGGTAGCCATAACATAATGAGGAGTGGGCATATTGTCAGTTATTCTATCTGCCAATTCGGCCATTTGATTAACATCCTTGGAGCTGCACGCAGATAAGATGCAACGAATGTTACTAGGCAATCGCTGCAACCAAAGTGCTGACAAGGCGTCTTCCGACATATTTGACGCTGCCAGATCTCTCATCTCTCGAAGCAACTGCGTTGGACGCTTGTTAGACACGTCTAAATCCGTTAGCAATTTAATCAATTGTTTCTGACGCGACTCCCCAAATCGTGAAATTAATTCATTTTTCAACGTTTCATATTTGCCCGTAGCTGGCGGATTTTTTGCTATGTCTGAAACTTGACGAAGCGTTTCGCCGTCTAGTGCTGTGATTACCGTGTAGAATTTGGATAGATCAGAGGTGATGCGATTGATGTGTAGTAATCCGTCCACTTGAGTAAACCATAACTCCGGGTCAGTTTGCAAAAATGAAGGCAAATTCGTTAACTTTACTGCATCAATATCGTTTTTTACTGTTGTGAAATTCGTGCTTGCTGCTGCTGACTTTGCTGTTGTTTCTTTGTCGGCATTAGACATTTCTGCTTCTTTGTTCAGCATTGCGTCACCCAACATTGTGCAAGTTTGTTTTGACTTTATGAAATAAATAAATAACTTGCGCTGCTTCCAATTATGTGTTTAATTTGCGTCGGGGTCACCAATTATGTGGGTTTTTACCACATACTTTATTTTAAATAAATATAACAAATGTTTACAAAATGATAAAAACGTTGTGTTACTAAAACGTGCAAAATAGGAAGAAGAAGGAAGCCAGTCGCCAGTTACTGAAGTTAGCTGCTCATTGAAAAATGTTCCTTTTGCCCACAGATGGTGCGAGTGCGTGTACATTCACACACAGAGGGCGCTGCAGTATGTGTGGCGAGTTCGCCACAGATCTTTTCAAATGTGGACTCGATTATCTTCCCCTTTACTTGCGGTCACTTTTTAAATACCTGTTCACCGTCTCGGTATTCATTATTTTAACGGTGTATAAAGCTGCCGTTATTCATATAGTCCAACTTTTTAGTATTGCAGATGATTGTTGGAATTATTATAAATGAGTGTTGGAACACCTATGCTCGATTAATTTCATCACACGTATTTCATTGATATGTTAATTTATTACCACTATTTAAACAAGGATATGTATTGTTTTTAATTGTTAAAAATCTTGAATCTTTTTATTTAATCTCCTTCAGTACCTTTCATTTACAATTTTAATTCACGAAAATTTACAAAAATAAGAAAAATCTCCACAGGTACAAAAAAATTTCTCCCGCACATATAAAAATCATAAAAGTCTTCGAACAGCACTGCACTCGGACTTATATTTTCCGATATCTTGACAGTATCCAAAGCACACCTTTTAAAGGTCCAAATGCGATCAGCACACTGGCCCATAAGGGCTGTCGTGAAGACGGAACCTCTTAGGGCATTGATCTTAATCTTCCACTTACCGTAGTAACGTAGTAAACAGAGAGAGTCCTAAGGTAATTGTTAAGCTCAATGTAGTTTCAACTGGGGAAGTTCGACCTCATGTAGATGAGACAATCATCTGCGTAGCAGATTTGCCTAATGCATTGAGGAGGAAGGGACAATGAGAAGGAAGGAGAAGGAAATATTTACAAGGATGGAGTATTCGTTAGAAACAGCCATTACTCGAAACAGCTGTATGGTCAGCTAAAAATTCAATTAACTAAAAATTTCGTTTTTACAATTCACTACTGTTCGAAACCTGTCAGTTACATTTTATAATTTTTTAATTGTTATGTCATGATTTCAATTATAAAATAATTAATAATCAATTTAAAAACAAAATATTTTTCTTATAAATTGGTACTATTTAAAAACCTTTGCATTAGCAAAACAGTTTTCTTCGTAATTTTCGTCGTAATTATCTTTAAATCTACATTCGTTTAATTTTGGAGAATCGCTCAATTTTATAAGAAACTTATAAATAAAGTGTTCAATTAAAAATTAAAGGATAACTTCAAAATACCATATGTATTTAACGAAAAATTGCTTCACATCCGGTTATACTTTTTATAATAGAAAAGATTTTTATTTTCTACAATCCATAATAAGCGATGAAACTATTTTCCAGAATTGATAGAACCCTAGTTTAATGGACAATAAAATTTGCAACATTGGTGACTTTCCTTGTTCTAGTATTCTATTTTATTAAGAAAATATCCTCAGTAATGTCGTTCAGTTATATCTAAATGGGACATAAATATTCTTATATTGTATATAAATTTTAAAATACAAATATAGGTACATTTTTCCTTTGTAAATGAAATTGTTCTTTTTTATTTTCACAATCACTCTTCATTTGTCATTAGAGAGGTTGTAACATATATTCGCCTTGCATAAACATTTCTTCTTGGATAGGTGCATATTTGGTTAAACTTCCCGTTAATAATACTTTCTATTTAAGTCTTTTTTTATCTAAATTCGAAATTTTAAGCCCACATTTAAATGGATTAAAAATAATTTCCTTCTTTTTATCGCATACATTTTGTCAAATAAATTTCGATTTCATCAATGAGTTTTTTAACATCCATCGCACTAGTAATTCGTATGAAATGCGAAAAAAAACATCAGATACAGAATCCGACAGGTCTAGTATTTTAGTGACGACATTGACTCCATATCGCATAATTTAATAGGCCTAATCAGCTGTAAGCAATAAGCAATAAGCCGCGTGATGTCATGATATTCCAAATTGTATATGGTACAGTAACAGCTTTGGTAGGATTTACAAGCAGCATTACCTATAAGTATAAATTAATATTTTATTGACTTCTTTTTAATTAAAAATTAGTTTGAGTTTAATTAGTTAATGAAATTATTACAATCATGATTTTATATAGATACTTAGGTGTGGCTAGGTAGTAGCTTAGGTGAATAAAAAGGAGGGTAAATAATATAAAGAGATAGAATCTTTATAGTATACACATTAGACTGTTTTCACACCTATTTCTTATATTGTTTAGAGCACTATTTGTGCTCAGTATTCATTTATTATTCATTTAAATAATAAATAATGAGCTACATTATTTTTATTATTTAACAAGACTAATTCGGTATATACTTTGTGATAATGATTGAAATTATATATTTTCAATTTGAGTTCATATAACCGTAAACATATGCATATATTATACTTTTACACTATTATACTTATAGTTCTGCGATTGACACAGAACTATTCATTTTATTTAGAAATTATTCTTATCGCTGCTCATTAATTGAGTTTATAATGAAGTAAAAACTTCAATAATAGAATATGTAGACAGTGTGGTACTCGCATAACACCAATTTGTTTGGCAGAGGTTCATGTTAAGTAAATATGGTATGTGATTCATTCCAGAGGAACTTAAGGGTGAAATATAGAAAATATATTAATATTTATATATATCATATTGTCAGTTCTTCCGTTTTTCAGTATTTGAATTGATAAAGAACTGACTTTGAATATTTTTACAAATGTTCTCATTTTTATCCCTCGAAAACAGACAGACTCTTTTATGTTGAAGCAGATATGTTATGTTGGATAATATCGGATTATTCAAATAAAGTTTTATATTATTCAACTCATAGGGAATATGTTTTCCGATATCTTTTTACTACCTAAAAGGTACTAACTTTACTATATTACACAAAACTTACATATATGTGAAAAATATAAAAACAGCTTAATTCTTATTAAACTTAGACTAGGTGCTCTCTAGTAATAACAAAATTTAAATTTATTAATAATATCAAGATATTTTGAAGTTACAAAACTGCTATAGACAAGTGTAGGTATTTCACCTGGACCCATGTTAAATACAACTTTCATACCGGTACCTACATCGTGTTTTTATACTTTCTTCCTCATCTCATTCCATATACCAAGTCTTGTCAACCTTTTGTGTGTTTGCTGTGAAATGGGCATTTGGTTACAGCAGTAGCAACAACAACAGATAATACAATAGAATCGTTGGCCTATTTCAGTTAACACTTTTATTTGTTAATATCTTAATTAAACTTAATCAACTGACGATTATAGTTAACAATGAAATTTATAGACTAATATTGCTGGAATTTTCTTGCTGGAGTTTCAATATTCGTAATGGAGGTTATTAATCTTTCAAATCACTATACAATCAATACGTCAACTATTAGAACTTTGTGCCTTTTTTACATATTATAATCCTACTTTCTCAATAATTTCACAATTTAAATATTTTGTTGGTATCACCTTTGAGTAATGTGCTAATATTTGTTTACGTATCTGACGCTCTTCCTCTGTATATTGGAGTGCCTTGTTAAATAATTTACTTTACTTTTAAATTTAAGTAATTTCTCCCATTTACTTTATTTGTTTTTTAGTTGTCATTTGACAACAGTCATTTACAGTGGTGGCAATAAATATGTTCTTTGATATTGAAATGACATGTTTAATAGTGTATATTGTACATAATAATATTCGGACAAACAACTTCCACATTAGGCTTTTAGAACAAAATGTTGTAAAATTTTTTCTTATATGAGGTTAGGATTATGTAAATTAAAATG